CAAAAATTTGCCGGCGCCTGGAGAAGAGGGGGGGGCGGCCGGCAGACATGCGGCCGGGGGCGGAATCGGCTGCGCGCCCGGCCTGGGCTGGGGTCCGGCTCCGGCTGCAAGCTCCGGGACGGGCCGGGGAGCGCTTCCGGGGAGCGCCCGCCTGCCGCGCCCGCGAAGCTGCGCCCTGCAAACCCTGCCCCTCCGAGCGAGCGCCGGAGAGAAGTTGTTTCGTGACCTGTTGGTCCCTGTGCACGCCAGGCTGGGAGCGGAGGGGGATGCCCTCCCTGCAGCTCAGCCCGGGCGGGGGCTGGGGCACCAGGGTTCCCCGAATTCGCTGACAGCCTCTGGGGACGCGCGCATCCTCCAGCCCATTTATAAGGAGCCCGGTGCTGTCACTGGACCCCGAGGCAGCAGCATTTCTGCTTTCGAGGTGTGAAACCGTTGCAGAGGCCCCTGTCTTCATTTCCTTCAAAAAATCCGTTGCAAGCCGCCGACTGAAATTGTAGAATCGAACAAGATGAGGCAAGTGGCCGCCTGAGGGTACAAAATCAGCGGTGTTGCCTGGTTTTTCTCACCGGTTTTCACTTGGATTAGAGGCGGACATGGGTGTGTTTGGGTATCCAAATGCATTTTAAGGTTGGCTACATGCAAACTGCATTCACAGAGCTACGTTTGGGTTTTTCTGACCCTGTTTTGTTTTTCTCTCTCTACCATTTTGTAGATTTCCCTCCTCACTATGTGTTGGACTTGGCCAGGTTAGTTGGAATCTTCAGCATTACGCGGTTTATGTCGTTAGAACTTCTCTGTGTGTCTTTATGTGTAGAACAGTGAATCTGTGTTCTCTGTTTACAGATGGTGGCTACAGTGGCAGTTCTCTGGGTGGGAAAGGCGCTCAGAGTAGTCAAGTTTCCTGACTTTGACAGTAATGTACCTCGAAAGGTAAGAAAAGAAATAAATAAAGTAATTATTTTCTGAAAAGAAGTCACTATATATATGTTATATATTATGTGTATTTAAAAATTGTCACCCAATCCAGAGTGGGTATAATGAAAGTAAAAAATAAATGTTATAATATGTACTTTTTATTTATTTATTATTATTATTTATCCTCATCCGAGGATATTTTTTCCATTGATTTTTAGAGAGTGGAAGGGAGAGGGAGAGACAGAGAGAAACACCAATGTGAGAGAGACACATCGATTGGTTGCCTCCCACATGCCCCTGACCCACCGTAGGTGCCATTGACCAGAATCGAACCCGGGACCCTTTAGTCCGGAGGCTGAAGCTCTGTCCACTGAGCCAAACCGGCTAGGGTCGTGGTAGGTAAACTGCGGCTCTTTGGCCCCTTGAGTGTGGCTCTTCCACAAAATACCACATGCGGTGCGCACGTACAGTGGAATTGAAACTTTGTGGCCCATGCATAGAAGTCAGTATTTTGTGGGAGAGCCACACTCAAGGGGCCAAAGAGCCGCATGTCGCTCTCAAGCCGAAGTTTGCTGAGCCACAGTTTGCCGACCACTGGCCGCTAGGGCGTAATAGGTATTTTTTAAAAAGTTCCATAATCTCTTTAAAATTAAGAAAAAAAGGCCCTAGAAATCATGTATTCTGTTTTACTTGCTAGTAATGAACACTTTTTTGGGGAATACAACTGTTTTGCATTTTCTACATCTAATCTAGCCAGTGTATTCTTTATTCATTATTCTTCAGGTTTATTTTCTTACTCTTCTATCTGCATCTGCTTGGCTCCACATGAAGATGAAGTGCATTTCCTTTTTCCTGCTGACATTAGAGCTGTGGGCTAATACATGATCATATTTTAAAGTAAACGATGTATTTATCCCACATGTTTGATCATACTCATATTTGTCTCTTCCCCCAACCCCCCATGCCTTTCTCTCTCTTTCTGCCATAGTAGTGCTGTTTGTCCAGGAATAATGTTGTTTGAGCACTATGTGGGGGCAAAAATTGTGTATGAGGACTAATTTTGTGTTTTTAAAGGGAAAGAATTTAATCATGTAAACAAAACTGTTTCTGTTTGAAAGGCCCTGTGTTAGCTATCTTTATTATTGAGTTTTGTTATCCCTTTTAAATTTTCTAGACGTTTCCACTACCTCTACTATATTTTGGGAACCAAATCACGGGACTGTTCAGCACAAAGAAACTGAAGTATGGATACTTTATTTTACTAGTGAGGTTATATAATGTGTTCTTAAAATTGTATTTGAATGTCAAATATTTAACACATTGTTATTGTTGCTGAAATAAATGAAAGGACCAGAAAGCTTGTGCTATTACATAATAAAGATTACACTAAAGGTTTTAGTTTAAGCTCTTTAAGTTTAAAGAGAAAGAGGGTTTTTGTTTGGGGTTTTGATCCCTCAGTTTCATGATAGAAGTCTTAAAGTGTCATAAAATGCTATGACAGAAGATTTTCATTATTTTTCCAGATGTATAGTAGTGAAGGATATATACTTTGCTTTTGGGATTTCAATTATTTAATGCAATTTATGGATATTATATATTTGACAAATTCTACAAGCAAAAGCAGAGGGTGGATGCGAGAACTTCTGTAGTGTTTCTTTTAACATGTTAAAATAACACCAGATGAACCTTGATTTAAACATGATTGATATTTTACTCATGGCTATATACCTGTAGAGGCAGCATATTCACTTTTAGAAAGAAGTGATAGCTCTCTACTCTTTGACAATACTGTCTTATTATCCATTAACTTCCCCATTCTTGGCTTCCATACTTAAGGAGTATAGTATGTATTGAGTGTATGTGATGTTAAAATTACACACACAAGGAAACCATTTAACAGAAATCCATGGCTTCACCACTTCCACATGAGCTAAACCCTGGCATACTTGCTGGATGAGCATAAACCAGAATGGGGAGATCTCTGAAGATCAGACACAAAGTGTTTTTCATTTCTTCTTTAGACCCAAGAAACTTGACAGAAGGACCATGATGATATCTCTGGAGAGTGTTTTATGGAAGTCAAATTTATCATAGGCGGGCATCCTTTTCCATCTCACTACCCACTTGGAAAGAAGTGCAGGCCTGCTGGAAAGGCTGCTTAATAGAGTTTGCTTTTTCATCCTTGCCATCCATCCATTCAGTCACACCCTGTCTTTGATTGCCAGCTAAATATAAGGCACTTTGCAGTAAGATGAGATATATTCATAAATAACTGAGAATTTAGAGGAAGACAAAATTACTTCCACAAAAGGACAATTAAGGAATATCTAATGGAGTAAAATTATGGTAGATGTTATTTGGAGGGTTGGAGTGGGAAGAGAGGTCAGTAAAGAAAGGAGAAAAAATCAAAAAATAAATTCTTAAACTTTATTTTACCTAATTATCTTTTTTTCTTTTTTTCCAGCTTGCCAATGTTTACAGTTCTGAGAAGGTTCTCCATCCTGTTTACAATGTTTGCTGAAGGAGTGTTACTCAAGTGAGCTAAATTTCTAATACATCTCTAGTCTTTAACAGACTTTAGTCACTTTGAAAAGGTACCCAGCATAATAATTGTTTAATAAAAATATTAAAGTTATTTGTCTTGCTTCTACTTTATCTTTTGGAAAGTTTAAGCAACTTAATCCCTTTGCTCTTGGAATCGATAGTTTATGGGAACAGTAGTTGGGAAGATTATGAATAGGAGTTAGAAACCTTTTTAAACATGAGATATACTTTGATGAATTCCTATACTTACTGCTGCCACTAGGTGTAGAGGAGTCAGAAACATCGGTATAGTTTTGTGCTTTATTTAAATCCCCACTCGAGGATATGTTTTTATTGATTTTTAGAGAGAGAGGAAGGTGGAGAGAGAGAAACATTGATCAGTTGTCTCCCTTATGCCCCCAACTGGGGATCAAACCTGTAACCTAGATATGTGGCCTGACCGGGAATCGAACCAACAACCTTTTGGAGTACGAAGCTATGTTCCTTGTTTCGGCTACTTTCACTACAAATGTGTGTGACCTTTTTCTACTAAGGAGATTCCATTTTGCTGAAATACAAGCTCAATAATAAACAATAAGAGTAAGGAAAAAATGAGTATATTTATTTAAAAAAATAAGATTTGCTTTATCAAAGGGGTTCTTTTAAATATCCAATTTCTTGGAAACATAAAAAATTGGACTGTTTATAACTTTTTTCAAATATATCTTTTTTATGTGTGTGTGCCTGTGTTATGAATCTTTGTGAATAAAGCCACAGTTTACATAATTTTTTTTTTTGTAGGAAGACTTTTTCTTGGAGTATTAAGATGACTGTATTTGCAATGATTATTGGAGCCTTTGTAGCTGCCAGGTAAGATGTGGGCCTATATAAGCCTGTGAGCTCATTAGAAATTATCAGTAGTTAATAATGATCAATTACCAATAAAGATAATTTTTTATAGGATAAATAAGAATCATATCTTTGAAAAGCATCCAAAGACCCTTTAAAAGTTAAATCTTTTAGAGTTTGTTAAGATCAAGGCTGGTAAAATCAGATTCTTAAAAGTTAAATTCACGTAATTTAGGATTTATTATACAGTCTTCTACTGATTGAGCACATACCATGTGTCGCACAATATGTTTGACATTTTAGACATAATAGTTCTGTATTCCAACTCTGAAAGGTATGGATATGATTTTTCTATTTTATAGTTGAGGAAACTAAAACGTAAATTCAATAACAGCTAGTAAGCAGCAGAACGTGCTGGAATTTGAATCTGTGCCTGACTCCGGAGCCTATGTGCTTTTATAAACCATGTGGCATTTTTTTTACTTTGTGTGCTGCTGAAGGAAATAGTGTCTCAGAAAAGGCAAGTGATAATGAATTATTTGCCTTGTTGAATAATGAATAATAGAATTGCTTTATTTGGCCTCACTTAGGATGTATCACAAATGGCATAACTTATTCTACTAAATTATTAAAGCTTTTTCCATTGTTCTTAAGTTTTAGTTTTCAGGTGGATGGAGAAAATGTATATCCAAAGACTCAGAAAATTAAAATGATGGCTAGAAGCCTTCTACAACATTTTACTCAGCCCAGGGCATGCATGTATGAGTTTTCTAATGTCACAAATTCTGCCTGACATACATTTTTCATTTGGGAGTTATAATGTACCTCTTGGATTGGCTCATTTACCTTCATCATATCCCTGTGATATAGACAGGGAGGGGGTAGGAATATAAGTCAAATTTTATTCCACCCTAAATCTCCAAGTGAAATTTCATTGTAAAAAAAAGGGGGGGGGGTAGAATAATTGGTTACTAGAATTTCATTATGTAGCTAACTGCTTTTCTCTCTAGATATTATTGCCTCCTTGGAGAAAAATTCTGTATGAGCATCCTACCTTTCTTTTTGAAGCATTTCCTTGGAGCTGGTGGGATCCAAAATTGAGTCAAACGATAGGGATTCCTCGGGGCTAACATCTGGCCTGCAAAGCTTCTGAGGAGGATTGCTATCTTGACCAGCCTTGTCTAATTAGGACATTTTACTTGGGAAAGAGATTGGGAGGAAGGGAGTCTGAAGTTAGGGGGTTGTCCAGGCTGCTTGAAAGAGAGGCTGTGCATTAGGCTAGTTCTGCCTCAAAGTGCAGTGGTGTAGAGCTCCCCAGAAGTCTTGTTCCATGTAGCAGTAGTAGTAGTACTAGTAGTAGTTTACATACAAATATGTACTATCTTTGCAAAATCATGGAATGTGGGACCACTGTTTAGCTAGGGTCCTAAAATATGAAGGCATACTTTTCTTAGATTTTCATTTATTTGTTTAATAAATTTTTTATCTCTACTAAATACTAGAAAACTTCTGTTTCCCTAATGCCACTAGTTATAGCAGTATTTGAATTCCTACTGTGTGCTTTTGGACACTGTTGTAGCTTGATCTCAGAGCTAACCATGATCCACACTTCAGAAATTTGACCTCAGGGTCCAACCACCTGTGCAAGATAGTCCTACCTTTTGTGTGAACTTTTGGAAAATGACATGTTAACAACTCATCCGTTTGGTCTCCTTACCTGTGAAATTCAGCTCTGATGCCTTCTGCCTGCTTCAGCTGTAACCGTGAATTTGGTTGCTTATTGTTGTTGTCTGACTTGGAATTCAGAACGGTGTGCTATTTAACTGACATGATTGTTTGTTGCTAATGATTTTAGCTGTTAGTGTTTCTCATTTCTGAAGACTCTACTTACTATAAAATTGCAATTTGTAACTAGAAATCAAGAAATACTAGTAGTTGATAAAATGCCTAATGTTCATTTACCTAGATAAAAATACGTTGTTGCAAATACTCTATTCAAACCTACTTAAAATTAAGGGCGTGTTCCTTAAATGTAAGTTGTTAAAGTGCTGCTTATGTTTTGCAGCTCTGACTTGGCATTTGACCTGGAAGGATATGTTTTTATTCTGATAAACGATGTCCTGACAGCAGCAAATGGTGCATACGTGAAACAAAAATTAGATTCAAAGGTAGGTAACAATCTAAAGTTTCTTTAAGAGATGTTTACTGATCTTGGGGATGATAATGTCAATTCATCAGGGAAGAAGCGGGGAATAAAGAAAAATATTTAGGAGGAGTGGGAAGGAAATAGGGGGTCTCTGAGGGTAGAGAAATGTGTCATAAATGATCATGGCTGTATTCTAGAGGACCTGAGCAGGAAAGAAATATCTGAAAGCCCTTGAGCAGATTTGAGGAGAAGTGAGTGTTGGAAGGGGCTGCAGAAAAAGAATGGACTTTTCGAGTTACAGATCATGGGAAACTTTCGGGAGAATTGGTATCTTTCTCTCTCTGGGGCAACACCGAGTTCCCTGGCTCAGATCTCATGCACGTGAACTTTATTTACCCATCTCTTTTCTCTCAGTTTGCAACATGCACACAAAGGCTTTAAATATATTTGTTATTAGTTTGTCTGTATAGACACACTAAATTTTATTTTTTAGATGAAGCCGGATCATCAGGAAGCGGGGTATTTGAGCCACATTAGTTTACTCCATTATGGTGTAAGGTTACATTATTATACGAAGACGCTGTGTGACACTGAGCTTTACATATCATAGGGTTGCTATTGAAGGAGTTGTTTTTTTCTGTCATAATGTATCCTGTATGGGGACCCACATGAGATATTTATCGTAGATGTCACCATGGCTCTTCCTGAGTAGCTGGTGTATTTTATCTCATTGTAACTGACCATGGCTTTATCTGATTTTCCTACCCGTGTTTTCTCTTCCGTCAGATAGCCTTATCCGCTTAGTTTGTACAGTGCTTCTGAAATGACTTTCAGGTCCTTTTTCGGAGTTCAGATCATACATACCAATGCCCTTCTCTGCAGTGGTATTAGTATTGAGTTTGTATCATCTTGGTGGGAGGCTTTACCTTCTCCAGAAAGAACCCTAAAACCCATGGCCATCCCACTTGTTCTCATTTTCAGAGAACGTTGGTTTTTAATATCCTTGAAGAATTGGGGACAGTGTAGATGTTTCCAAGGAATTTCTTTAAACATATCTTTTATGTCTTGTTCTCCATGTACTTGCCTTGACAACTTCGTATGATCATTGCATTTTAATGGAAGCGACTGTTAAAACTATTGTCTTTTTGAAATGGTTAAAGAAAAGGGACCAGTTAGAGATTTAGTTTTATTCTGGTTTTTTTTTGTTTGTTTGTTTCTGTTTTTTTTCCTTCAGCCCATTTATTTGCTGCTTTGGAAAATAGGTATGAATAATAACATTTTATTTGTCCAGCAGCCTCAGCTCTTTCAGACAGTACTGTCTAGTAAAGTTTTTCTGTCATAATGGAAATCTTCTGTATTTCTGCTGTCCAGTAATGGTAGGCACTAGCCACATGTGGCTGTTGAACACTTGGTATGTGACTGGTAAAACTGAGAAGCTGAATTAGTAGTTTAATGTAATTTTAATTAAATTGAAATAGCTGCATGTGGCTAGTGCAGCCGTGGGCAAACTACGGCCCGCGGGCCGGATCCGGCCCATTTGAAATGAATAAAACAAAAAAAACAAAAAAGACCGTACCCTTTTATGTAATGATGTTTACTTTGAATTTATATTAGTTCACACAAACACTCCATCCATGCTTTTGTTCCGGCCCTCCGGTCCAGTTTAAGAACCCATTGTGGCCCTCGAGTCAAAAAGTTTGCCCACCCCTGGGTTAGTGGCTACCATATTGTACAGCACAGTCTAGAGTTGGGATGGGGAACCTTTTTTCTGCGAAGGCCATTTGGATGTTTATAACATCATTTGTGGGCCATACAAAATTATCAACTTAAAAATTAGCCTGCTGTATTTGGTCAAACATTTAATGAACCCACCCCTAATGCTTTGGCAGGGCCAGACCAAATGATTTCCCGGGCTTTATAAGGCCTGTGGGCCAGACATTCCCCACCCCTGGTCTAGAGTATATCCTAGAACCTAGAAAAAAATAAAGAGGGTTTCTGAGTATTTTATTCCCAGGAGAGCCCTTTAGTTCTTTACTCAGAAATGACTTGTGACTTATTTGTATGAGACCTTTTAAGCATATTGATCTGTTTTTCATAGTTAATGGATTAGAAGCAACAAACTACAAGATGGAATTCTATTTAGAGGCAGAGAGGCTTACCAGCAGTATGAAAGGTCAGCTAACAATAAGAAAGACAAGCAGGAAAACTATAAAAATCAGATGGAAGCCCTGGCTGGTTTGGGTCAGGGGATAGAGTGTCGACCTGCGGACTGAAGGGTCCCAGGTATGATCCCGGCCAAGGGCACATACCTCGCTTGCAGTCTCAATCCCCAGTCCCGACTGGGGCACGTGTGGGGGGCAGCAAATGATGTGTCTCTCTCACATCAATGTTTCTCTCTATCTCCCCCCCCCCCCCCACTCTCTTTCAACATGAATGGAAAAATTATCCTCAGGTGAGGATTAACAACAGCAAAAAAATCAGACGGATGTACTCAGAAATGATTTAGGGGCTACTAAACACCCTTAAGGGCAACATCATATAAGAACAAAATACAGCCCTGGCTGGTGTGGCTCAGTTGGTTGGAGCGTTGTCCCGTACACTGAAAGGTGGCGGGTTCGATTCCCAGTCAGGGCACAGTTCCAGATTGCGATCTCGATCCCTGTTAGGGACGCATGCTGGAGGCAACCCATCGATGTTTCCTTCTCACCTTGATATTTCTCTCTCCCCTTCCTCAGTTCCCTTCTCTGAGATCAATTAAAAAACACAATGCCCTGACTTTAATAATGTTTATAATGCCCTAAATGAAATTTTAGTCTGTATGCTCCCTTTAAGAAGGCAGAGAAAAAGATATTCAAAACAGTTAAAATGTAAAAAGAAAAACAAAACAGTTTGGCATTTTAGTTTTGGGCAATTGTCAGTTGTCTGGATGGGTGTGTTTTGTGTGGTGTGTAGGCATCCTCTTTAAGAGATGGATAATACTTTAGTCTCTGGCTGACTGGGTACCTGCTGTTTCAAATTGTTTTGTCCTATGGCTTTTTTCTTGCTGCCTTAGAAATGAGGTGCTCTTTTCCCTGATGCTTGTGGTGGCCATAAGCAATCAGTTTTTTGGTTTATCCGAGAGGCAGTATGGCCACACTGAGAAGCTTTTAATAAAAAGGACTCCTTATAATCATGGTCCTTTGAGCATGAGTCATGTGGCATAAAAATTTAGGGCTGCATTTCAGACATGTATGCAGCTATTGAATTTAAAATATTTTTAACTTTAAAGAAATCACAAAAAATACTATTTATAGAAATATTCTTTTTAAATGTTTTATTTATTGCTTTTAGAAAGCGAAGAGAAAGGAAGGGAGAGAGAAAGAGAAACATTAATCTTGTTGTTCTACTTATTTAAGAACATTCATTAGTTGATTCTTGTATGTGCCCCGACAGAGGATCGAACCCGCAACCTGGACATATAAGGACGATGCTCTAACCAACTGAGCTACCTGGCCAGGGCAATAGTACATATTTATAATAAAAGTAGTAGAAAACATAGATAAGCAGGAGGAAGAAAACATAAATATTTCTTAATTCTACCCTCTAGTGCAGTGGTTCTCAACCTGTGGGTCGCGACCTCTTTGGGGGGTCGAACGACCCTTTCACAGGGGTCGCCTAAGACCATTGGAAAACACGTATATAATTACATATTTTTGTGATTAATCACTATGCTTTAATTATGTTCAATTTGTAACAATGAAATTGGGGGTCACTACAACATGAGGAACTGTATTAAAGGGTCGCGGCATTAGGAAGGTTGAGAACCACTGCTCTAGTGAGAAGCACTGTTTTAGTGGATATCCTTTAGTGTGTGTGTGTGTGCATATACACACCTAACTGTAAAATTTTTAAGGAGCAATGATATATAATGTTTTCTAACCTATATTTTTCATCTAGTACTGTTTCATGAACACATTTTGGTATTAAACATTTTTAGTGGCTGTATAATGTTTCCTTGTATGGTTGTATCATAGTCTAATCAACTAGTTTTCTGTTGTTGGATATTTGTTTCCAGTTTTTCAAAGCTTCTTTTGAGAAGGTGGTTTGACGTTTTACACAATTCAGGGATCTTTCAGCTACAGAAATTAGCCAAATATTATGTCCTTCTCCTCACTACTTCTTCACCCCCTGACCCCTGAAACTCTGGCCTACTTTTTCAGGTGACTCTGCTTCCCGATGAATGTCCCAGAAGTGTGTGAGTCAGAGGTAGACCCAGAGTTCTCATAGGCTCCCTGTATTTGAAGATGTGCGGGGTCCTTCATTGCTCCCTGGTATCCGAGGATACAACTAGACATACTCTGTTTTGGGAATTGTAGATAGAGTAAGCTAAATTTTTAATATACTTCACATACACATTTTCAGAAATACTTCCCTGGGAAGTTATACCTACCTGTGTTGGTTAGGTGTGAGTCTGTGTGTCTGGCTCTGTCCAGCCATCTCTGAATGGCACTCTGTTATGGTTCTGAAAAGCCCAAGGCCAGCTTGGTGACTTTTGATTCAATTCCGAAGGGAAAGCGCTTCAGAGATGGATTTTTGTAGAGATGTGTGTATGTGTTTAATATAGCCTCTTCCCTATTGGCTGTTTTGAGGCAACAGTTGATGTCATTTTTATTTCTTTATTTTAGAACATAAGTTGTTGTTTTTGAAAGCTTAGGCTACTTCTTGATGTTTGAAAACTTCTGACTTGGCCTAAGTTGCTGTGCGTATTGTGGGGGAGGTGTGTGGGTATAGTGGGGGTGGGACTTTATATAGGGTTTTGTATATCTTATCTGCTAGAACCAAATGAAACACGTAATTATTTACTATCCTAGGAGCTGGGAAAATATGGTCTGCTCTATTACAATGCACTGTTCATGATTCTGCCCACCCTGGCCATTGCGTATCTTACAGGAGATGCACAAAAGGTAGGCGTTTCTAACACTGATTTAATGCCTTATGTTTTTTAATTGTATTGTTTATGAACAAAGATAAACTGTGGAGTTGTTAAGTAATGTACTTATTAAGGGACTAACATCAGAATGTACTTTTTAGCTTGCTAATGTCATGCTAACCCTTTTTCTTGGCATAAGTATTGGATAGTACTAAAATGGCTCAAAATAGCTCTGGCTGTCAACATAAAAATAGTGCATGCCAACCAGTGTCCTGTTCTTATGGGCCAGAAGGATGGAGGAAGGGAATTTTTACATTTCTACTAACCTACAAAATAATAGTCACAAGCTATCCTTGAAAAACAGAAAACAAAAATCTTGAAATAGTAGAATTCTTTAGACTTGAAATTCTAGATCTCTCTAGAAGCTTCTGTTCTGGTGTAAAATTTGTCATCCTCTCTTAAATCCCAAGCTGTTTTTCCCCCCAGGAGATATTTAGCACTGTGTGGTGACTTAACCATATAAATAGCAAATAATATAATAGTTTACTCATTTCCAGCAAGTGTTTAGCTTAATAAATCCAGAATAGAGGAACAAAATAAATCCAGACAAGAATTTCTCTCTAAAACAAGCCCATATCCAAAAAAGTTGATACCATTTTGTTAGAATTCACAAAAATTTTGCAAACTACGTAAACGGACATCTAGAATTCTGCCAAGGATTTCTGTACCAAGATTCCTTCTAATGATTCCTCTGGCAGCTAGTTTTTCAGAATAAGTGTGTTGGTTCTGTACTCCAGTAGCAGTGACAGTTTCCACAAAGTAGTGGAAAGTAGTTAGATTATTAAAAATTGCTCTTGAATTAAAGGTAGGAGAAGACTGACTGTTTTTAAAGTTGTTGTGTGTGTGTGTTTTTTCCCCATCAAGAACTTCCTTAAAAACAAAAACTGGCACAGATCATCTTGAACATGTGTAAAGGTTTAATGAACTGTGTCACCGGGCTGCTAGCAGGCCCACAAATGACACCAAAGTAGAAAACGGAGCTATTGCTTTAACTGCTCAAGAGCGTTGAATAAATATTTTGTGGCCGCGAAAAAAGTGGGAAGAGAAACTAACATTTATTGAGCCCCTGTTAGGTGCCAGTCACTTTATGTATGTGATACGATGTAGGCCCCATAACAGCTCATTTGCCCATGTGGAGATGAAGTTCAGAGAGACTAAGTAACTAGCCCAGTGTCACACTGTCTGTGGGAAGTAGAGTCAGGATTTAAACCCAAGCTTGACTCCAAAGGCCCTGGTCTTTCCACAGGGTTCTGCCTTTCTCTAGCAGACTCTGGCAGAAGCAGCCCTCGCTCTTTAGCTTTGGGGCAAGAATGTGATGCAAAATAACCAGGCCCTCCTTGGCAACACAGATGATTGCAAATCTTGAGGCCAATCTGTACGTGAGAAAGTTGGAAGGAGTAATGTGGTTGGCTAGGTTATTCTACACACTTGGCAAAGGTGGAATTTTCATGAACTTGAAATTCTGACTAGTAGCTACTTGAAAAAATTGAACCAAAGGAGAAATATCTTCATTCCAGAGTGATTATAATTTAACTAGAAGTTATATGCATAATTCATGCCTATTTTAGTAACACACATTTAATATGAAATGCTTCAATATAAGTAAGAATGTTTACTCATTGTGGAAAAATTACTTTGCCACCTGTATGAGAATGAGATTTAGATTTTCTCCTTCTTTTCTTTTTTTTTAAAGCAGAGGAGTGAAATTTGAGTCATGTTTGTTTTTCCCCAATGAAAATGCCAGGCAAAGGTTAAGAAAGGTTTATTTGGGAAGAATAATGGTTCATCTAAATACTTTGAAATTGGGATGATAAACTAATTATGGGAGCGAACTCATTGCTTTGTAATCAAACCCCACCGGTATTTTGATCTCACATGTTTGTTCATTCTCACTCTTATTATTAGAGTACTAGGGGCCCAGTGCATGAATTCGTGCACCTTGAAAGGAATTGTGGGCTGCAGTGGGCACAGGAGAGGGTTTAGGCCATCAGTCAGTGCTATAAGTACAGGTTAGGAAGAAATGTATGTAGGCTGAATATCAAGATTAGCTTTTTAATCCTCTTCCATTTTACACCCCACAATGCACCCAAAACATTTCTTCCACAAAAGAAATCAGAGTTTATTGCTCTGATGGTGACAGGTCTGCTCCACAAGGTGACTATATGGTCCTCAAAAGCAAGAATACCACAGAACTCATCTTTTTTTCTTATCGCCTGAGCCTAATACTGTGAAACACACAAGAGCATTTAACTAAAGGAGATAGGGCTTAGTTTTCTTATCTACCAAATGCAACAAGTAATGCTCACCTGTTCTAGGGGTGGTTGTTGAGATATAACTTAGAGAGGTGGCTGAGTGGTTTACTTTTATTAACCAGCACAGAAACAATGGGTGGAAGCCATAGACAGCCTAATGTGTCCAAGAGGCTCATAGTAGTCTACAGGAGTTGCAGCTTATTTCTTCCACTGGAAAATTCAGTCTCAGAGTAGTCAGTGGGCTGTTTGAAGTCTGGCAAGGAGTTCCCATGTCAGAGTGGGAGATGTGGCAGGATTTCAGGTAAGAGTTTTCCAGTACCAGTAAGTCAGGTTCATTTTCAGCGTGTGTCTTTTGGACCCGTGCCTTTTCTCCAAAGTACGTACTGGTATACCTATAAGTGGACAGACATTCATATATGTGCATGTATTTTTTAAAGAATGGGTGCTTTTTCATGTGACAGTGTATCTTTAAATAAAGCTGTTCCCCAGTGAACAGTCTGGGCCTCCTCCTGGCCTTTAGTAATACCGTATAGGGTATGATGCCTTGTACCTGATAAGATGCTCCCACATAAAGTATTTTCCCTGATCCTCATTGTATACCTGTGAGGTATACAAATTATCTGATTTGCAAAGGTTAAGGACATGCTTAAGGTTGCACAGTGTCAGAGCTTAGAGCCTGCCTGTCTGACTCCACATATTGGTAGATCCTTTGCTATTTGCTTGACTACATCTTTGCTCCCTCCCTGACTAGGGCTTTCCTCCAGAACAAGCTACTGAACATGAAAAACACTCCAGGGTAGTGTTAGAAGTAGAGTCTCTGAAGCTGGGCCTTGTTGTTACTTAATTGTTTACAAATAATCATATTTCTTTCATTCACTGAATATTTATTGAATGCTTATTATGTGTTTGATGCTGTTCTAAGTAAAAAAAAAAAAAAAAGACATGTTGCTGCTTTAAAGGAGCTTGAGTTCCAGTGGCATGAGATGGACTACACATAATTGTACAATAAGAGCTACGAAGAGACATAGAATGAAGAGCGTGACCGGAGAAGTCCCATTTGCATCAGAGGGTTAGGAAAAGCCTCTTTCAGGTTCCTTTGAGCAAACACTCAATAGGACTGAGAGCCGCATGGTTGTGGCTCTTCGGAAGGATAATCTAGGTCAAACGAAGAGCGGGTTCTAAGAGCTGAGGTGGGAGTGCCTCGCTTGTTCACAAGGGACATTTTCTGAACAAGAAAATATCAGGCAAAGTCATGGTGGGCCTTGAAAGATGTGGAGGAAGAAAAACAAAGGGTAATCCCAGGTGTGACCACTAGCATGAGCACAGGCTCAGCCACAAGAACTAGACTCTGCAGGATGCTTAGAAGGAGGAAATCCAAGACTCCGGAGACTTGAGAAGAGACCTTACAGAGCATGGCTCAGGCCTTTCCTCAGATGAGGAAACGAGCCCAAAGAGGGCTCAGGACTGGAACCCAGACTTCCTGACTCTGTGACCACTGCTCTCACTCCTCCCACCACACCACACCCTGCTTCCTTCCCAGTTGGGACCAGTGTTCAATACAGGAATTTGAAGTTTACTCTGCAGATAGTGCCAAGTCCCTAAAAGTAAGTGGTACAGGGGAGAGAATTTGGGGCCAGAAGGCACACGACCAGCAATCTCTAATTCTTTCCCTGACCACGATCTGACTTTGGACAAGACCCCTGCTCTCCTGTCCTGCTCTGTCATGTGTACACTGAGTAGGTTGGATCAACCCGGTTGGCTGCTTCTCTAGGTAGGGCCCTTTCCAGGGCTGCGACAGAGTTTCTGAGAAGCAGAAGGCATTCCAGTGTGGAGACAAGGCTGCTGCTCTGACAGCTGGCAGGAGCCCAGCCGCTCCCTGACTCCTGGTGACCAGTGCTGATAAACTCTTCTTATCTGCCGGGCCCCTGGCTTTCCTGACCCAGGTCTGTTATGTAATTAAATGAAAAGATCTCCAAGATAAATTGTTAAATGAAATGCACAGTATAAAACAGTGTGTGATGTGCTACCTTTTGAGTAAAATACAAAGGGAACAGTAAGAACATATATACGCATACATTTTATTCACTATTTAAGTAAAAACAACAGCAACTAGACGAATATACATGAAACTAATAAAGCAACCACCTGTGTGTGTGTGTGTGTGTGTGTGTGTGTGTGTGTGTGAGAGAGAGAGAGACAGACAGACAGACAGACAGACAGACAGACATAGAACACAGGGTTGCGGGGGGGCATGAAACGTTCCTCTGTCCTGCAAGCTTCTTTAGCTGGTCTAATAACTAAATCTGCATGAGACAGATTAACAAGAAAATAACCAGATTAAATTACATGTGTACACATGGGAACCCACAGGCGAGGTTCAGGACAGGAAGTTAATATGGCGTATAAATGACATTCTGACCCAAGGAGGAGGAAAGGTGCTCTGGGGCTCCAGGGGAAGGTTATTGCAGGACGATAAGAAGAACAGATGTCTAGTAATTAGTAGTTTGCCCTACCATATAGATAGATAGGTCGGAAAGGTTATCTCTGATAATCTCTTCCTATGGGGAAGGCCCTTAATTTAAGTTCTTCTAAGGCAGTGGTTCTCAACCTTCCTAATGCCGAGACCCTTTAATACAGTTCCTCATGTTGTGGTGACCCCCAACCATAAAATTATTTTCATTGCTACTTCATAACTAATTTTGCTACTGTTATGAATCGTAAT